TGGAAAGAGGAAGCGAAAGAACTCCCAACACACACAGGCGACTGGCAATCAAGCATTGCCGCAAAAGAGAAATTTTACGGGGAGTCAAATTCTAGACATGCTTCATGCTTCAGTAGCAAAAAAGTCAAATGTCGCCGACGACATTCTGGCGGCTGGCTCAGACCGCGCAAACTCACAACGTCAGGCACAGAACCCAGCCTAGCCAGCAGCTGGTTGAAGCAAACACTCGACAAAAGAGCGCTTGTCACGAAGTTCCCGGTACCTGATGAAAGAGTGAAGGTGAACCTAAGCTGAAAGATAAAGGAGGCATCTATCTTGCGCCCGCATCTGTCTTTGGTTGCCGGCAGCTACGTCTACTTTTGGTCCATTGCCGCTGCCTGCAACGCCGCACGACACCTCTTGAAGGTTTGTCTGCAGGGTTGTCTTCCGAGGGGATGTAGACCAGTCTCGCCAATGAGTCCGTAGCCAAAAGAAGACTGCCAATTTGTCGTAAAACTCTACGCAGGCCCGGTGCAGAAGTGCGCCCTTTGCTCACTGCACCAAGCACTGCCTTGGCGTCCACCAAAATCACCAGTCGTCGATGAAAGTGCGAAGGCCTGCGGAGGGTCCACTTCAAGGCTAAATGGAGCGCGTGAGCTTCCAGCACCCCAGAGTGCGCTTTCCACTGGGCTCTAGCACTGATAGCGGTGCGAAATTGCCATTGATGGAAAGGAAGAACATGTGGAACTCCAATCCTGTCGCGACAAGGAACCGCGCCTTCCTCAGGGAAGAATCGCACAAAGTCACCTCGCCTTTCTGAGAATTGGCTGACCTCTTTGACCAAGCTGGAGCTACACTTCATGTAAGACACCCCAAAACCGAAAGAACCCGAAGCATCACATGCAATGAGGCGTGGCAAGAAACGCCGTCCCAAGTCAGCACCCAGAAGAGGTGCCAGGAAAGCAGCCACAACCAGCTCGACGCGAAGCTTGCTAGGCAGAGGTTGAACTCTGTCTTGTGGCTCTTTGCGCACGAACTCATAAATGGAGTCGAAGATGCTGTACATGGGTCTCGACAGCAAACAAAACCATTGCTCCAGGCCAAGCAGGCGGTTCAAACCTGCAGGTGACGCCTCTCCAACGCAGAACACGTCCAGCAGCGCCATGAACAAAGTAACCAACTTTGGCGCGGAAGGCTCGGCAGCAGGTGGTTTCGAAGTTAGTTCGCAGCCTAGCGCCGTCATTGACTGTTGAAGCGTAACATCTTTCGTAGCATTCTTGGGCATACCAGATAGATCAAAAGCAGCATCGAGTTGATGAAGCCTTCTCTCGCCCACCAGCTTGTCCTTGTGAAAGAAGAAGGTGTCATCGGTCGCCACCCCACAGATTTCTGGGCCGCTTGGAGGAGGTGAGTCCATCGAGATGAAGTCTTGTTCTTGGACACCTGCTTTAAGACAGCAGGCGACGGTGCAAGCTTGCGCCACACAAGAGCTCCAGCTGAATCCCATCGGCCACACCGTACTCGTCGGATACAAAGGAAGGAGCGGGGTCAAACCTTTGACATCGTCGGCCACATACCTAGTCAAAGAACTGCACGACACTTTGCACACACGGCTCATTTCATGCAAAGTCACAGGAGGCCTGCCAAACCATGGTTGCAGGTGCTCTGGAGCTTTCAACACATCAAAGCATGTATGCACATCACGCTTGGACATGTAGATTTCTTCCCACTCTGCGAAGCAAAGGTCGACGAAACAGCCGGGGTTGGCAAGCTTGAATGGATGCGGGGGCCGCGCAGCAGCTTGCGACACCAGCGCGCCATTCCACACCTCCCTTTGTTTGCCGGGGCTTGACTTAGGGACGCAGAAAACGTCTCCGACAGCAAGGCAACGCTGTCGTAGAGCTGTTTTTCCACACTGTAGCTGCCGAAAAACAAGCTTGATGTACTCATCACGGTCTCTCCCCATAGCACCCATGGGCCAGCTTTCAGTCTGAGAGCCGGCAGGGAATAACTGCTTCGGGTCCATGATCATGTCAGCCAGGTCTGCGGGCAGCAACTTGACAGCGTCACACGTAGCAGCAGCGGAGGGCAAGTCAACGGCCTCGGCTTTCATGGCTGGATACTTTGCATGCGGTTTCTCCTCGAAGAAGCGGAAGCTGCCTCGCCAAGCAAAGCTCTCGTCGCCACTATCACGAAGCCGGCGAAGAAAAAGCTGGCAGCGGTTGCAAACATGTTCGTGAACACCCTGCTGCGCCACAGTCGGGGTGCTCCGACCATGACCGGCCTTACCGGGATCCATGTCCGAAGCCAGCACGTTGAGGCTTGCTAAGCACAGGTTGGCCATTGCAAGGGCTGTCTCAGTAGGACATTCGGTGTCGTCCAGAGGCCATGATTGCAAAGCTGGCAATGGAAAAAGGTCCCGCTGCCTTCGCACGCTGGAAGAAACTGACCCACCAAAGCTCTCTTTCCAATCCCCATAGTACTGAACGAAGCCGGTGTCACACACGCTCAACACAGCAGTGATAGCCTCGTCGAGGCCGTCCTCAAAGCTGGGGTTCGTTTTCACTGTCGCAGAACGCCGCCGCTGCGCCCAGCACCGAGCAAAGTCCCGCCTCAACTTTGACCCTGAGACATGCTGTTTTCTCGCGGGCTGCAGGTGGTTCACGCAAAATTGTTGAGGCGGAAAAGCCTGGAACTCCCCAAGAATCTGACTGCATGAAGAAGAAAACCCGCTCCCCGCCAAAGAAGCAGGAAGCATGGCTTCACACCCACAGTGCCTCCGGCTGATGACTTGAGAGGTTTGGCAGCAGAGGATTTCAGGTACACAGCTGCGCGGCCCCTCATCCTGCAGCACTCCAGCTACAGGAAATCAGAACTGCTTTAGGCCCGCTCAGGACAGCAATATGCTGTTCATTACACCCTAAACCCTAAACTGTGTACAAAAAACCCTAATTAAACCCTAAACCCTACATAAACTGTCTACAAAATGGCATTGCATGGAGGAGTCTAGGCTCCTTTAACAGTGCAGAAAAAGGGCGAGCAACGTTGCAAGCGAAGGCATCGGTTGCAGTACTTCGTCTTCCTAAGCCCTACATCTGATGAGCCCTAAACCCCGAACCCTAAAGCCCTTAACCCTCCTTTTCAGGAGTAAAAGCAGCACAGCCTGCCTCATGGGCAAATCTTGTTGGAAAAAGCCCATCCGATGCCAGGTATGCCTTGGCGAAGGCATACTGGTGCCACAAACCCGGGTTTGAATGGCTTCTAGTGTGTGCTTTATGCGGGTTTTCTAGATTTGTTGAGGGTTTTCAATTTTGGGGCTTGCCAGGTTGGCCCTTTAACGCCTCTGAAAAATCTTGGGCAAACCAGGTTCCCTTAAGCCCAGTAAGGGAAAAGGTGAAATAGCCTCAAGGGCCCAGTTAGGTTCTTTAAAGCCCCCACCGATGCACCACCGATGCAGAACTTGCAGAACCCTCGCACAAAACTCTTAACTCTTCATCCCCAATCCCCAACCGTTTATCCTGAACCTTTATCTTAGGGGCCGAGTATCTTAGCCCAAAAAGGTTAACCTTTTGAATTATGATAGGTTTATATAAGCCCCAAAAGGTTAAAGGTTACCTACTCAGCCCCTAAGAAGAACGCTCAAATACTGAAGCCTGACACCGAAATATGCAGTTATATGCACTCTAAAGATCACAAGGTGTTTCTTGGGTCGTGCATACTATACCAAATTCACAAACTGAAGCTATTCCTAACATTGATGTGTCAGGCCCCCTATATAAGGAGGGCTCAGCCCTTCTTCCCTACGCCAAGCACCTGAGCACATGATGACTTCAACCATCTCACGGGCCGTAGCATAAGTAAGCTTGTGGTATACTATACCCATAGGCTCCATAGTGGTTCCTTTTGGGGATTACCTTATAGGATCCTAAATATACACCACAGAAAGGAACTACTTCGGAGCCTATGGGTAGTAATTACAACTACACGAAGGAACCAGTACTAGTATTGCCTGCCTGCCTGCCTGAATGCATGGACGGATGGATGTTCACATATGTGTATGCATACATGCAAAGCATACATCTTTCCTGCTTTCGTCGGTGCATAATCGTTCTGTATCTACAACTGCGGCACTGCCTGCCGGCCCATGAGTGATTCAGACTTTAGGCTTCAGTTCGGAGCTCTCAAAGTTAACGGAAACTACAGGTGGGGAGTTTAGGGTATATAGGGCCTTATATAGGGCTTCTATAAGGCTTCCATAAGCTATGTAGACCTTCTATAAGGCTCCTACAACGGTAACTACCCAAAGTCTTGGAGGCCTCAAAAGGTGGGATGAAGGCAGGTAGGGTTAAGGATCCCTT